TGTGGGATTTATTGTTGTTTGGGCTGGTGGTGGTGATAGATATTTCAGTCTACAGTAGTATTTTATTGAAAAGCATGTTCAAAATATGTCATCATCTGGAATTTGACAAGCTCTTTTTTCAAAACTTTTTTTTTGTTTATTCAAGTCATAGTCCCTGACCACAGAAGGCAAGGAAGAAATGGTGTTAAAAGCATAAATCTGCTTATAGCCACTGCTACTTTATGGAACTTAAAATTTCATATCTCAAATCCCAATGCCTTATAAAAAATGCTAACACTGACAAAACTACTCAAGAAATCAACACATCGATGTATGGAATGCTCTACGAGCTGTAAGAGCCACTAATAAAATGGTTTTAAAAAATAAAAAGAAACCAACACAAGCTGGGGTAATTTTGAGGTTAGGGTCAGCATCAACCTAAGTATTTAACCAAGGAGTTCCACAAATTGGAAAATGGGTTTTGTAACACAAGAAGAGTTAAGTGAATTTAAAAAAACAAAACAGGCCATCTGTAAGCTCTTGGGTATGCATCTTCTGAGCTGAGATGATGACTTCCATGTCTTGGATTCTTGTTTTCCCTCTGATACCTTCCATGTGTGCTCGTCCCCTGGAGCTGGAGGTGTCTTGAGATCTTGTTAGGCTTCTCTTTAGACTTTTGTAACAAATACTATGTCTTCTCTCAGAGTGAGACGACGGCGAGATCAGGAAGACACCCTCAACCAAAGATACCCTGAGAGCAAAGAGAAAAGAAGCAAAGAGGACAAAGACATTCAAAACAAGTACACAGAAAGGGAAGTGTCGGCAAAAGAAGACAAGCCCGTGCAGTGCATACCTCAGAAAGCCAAGCCAGTCAGGACCACTGTGGACATGGGGAGAGAGAAGCTTCTCAGACCTCCAGTAGAGAAGTGGAAGAGACAGGATGACAGAGACTTAAGAGAAAAGCGTTGCTTTATTTGTGGAAGAGAGGGGCACATTAAAAAAGAGTGCCCACAGCTTAAAGGCTCCTCAGGTATGGACACCCACCACACCTTGCTGTTTGCACTCCCATCTTAAGGGCAATCTTCTTTTTAGAGTTTTTTTCTGTATGTTTTGTTGATGATTATATATGAGGGCTTCACAAAGTTGATAAAAAAAATGGAAGTGAAAGCTAATGGAGTTTTTCCATGAACTTTTTGAAGACCCTTGTGCTTTTGTACTTTTATTTTTATGGTAATTTTGTTTTTAAGAAAATGTCCCTTGTTATTTCTGAGTCTCTGTATGTATTAAATACATACCTTTACTTTTGCTTAGAAGCCAATGAAAGTCATTTGGCTGACTTTTTAAGATTGTTCTGAAATGACAAGTTCCCTAGTGAAGACAAACTAGAGCTCTCCTGGGCCGTAGATAAGAGGCGGGATGAGGTGACCTTAGGGCCCCATACCTGGTATGCAGATAAGCAGATTGGCTGTTCTAGTACATATTTCACAAGCATAGCAAAGGGAGCAGATGGAAATTGTTGACCACCCCAATGCAGGGGACCCCATATGTGTCCGAGTGGAATGTGCCTCATAAAGTTTTTAAACAGGCTTTCCTTTAGAGGTGCCTCAGTGGGCTTGAACTATTAACTTTTCATTTAGCTGAGCACATTTGCATTGTTCCACCCTGGAAATATACTATTAATAGTGATCTTATCTCCAGGAGGATATATGGAGGATTTTAATAGGTTTCTTCAGGGAACATAACTTTTCTTATGATGAGGGAAAATTGAATCAGTAAATAGTTCAAAATCATTCACGAATCTTGACTTTGAATTGTTGAACATGAGTTGGCCATTTCTGTTGAATGGATGAGTGTACATTATGGTCATCTTTTAAACAAAGTATCAAAAGTAATGGGCCTGGTAGGTGTTTAATAAATATAATTTATAAAGCAATTTACACGCACTCTTCTCAGAACAGACCTATTCAAGTAGATGAAATTTCATAAGCATAGAAAAGAATCCTTAGGAAGTCATTTTCTTTGATTCTTCAGAGTAACCCAGAACTGAAATAGTAACCGTATTGCCATCTTCACTTTCAAATGTTTGTGGAACTTTTTTTTTTTTTTAAGTCAGTGCTGTTTAACAATTTCTTTTAAAAGCCGCAGTGTGTATTACTTCTAAGGAACTCAGGTAAATTGCCCTTACATGGGTCATATACCAACATAAATTCTTTTCTCTTATGATTACTAAAGGAGATTTTACTTCAAAGAAGTTAAAATAAAAGCAGTAGTTAATGTTCAGTGAGCATTTACAATGGTCAAGGACTCTTGTAAGCACTTTTACATGAATGATCTCACTTAATTTTCACAGCATTCATATCGTCCTATAAAGCATAGCATTAATATTAATAGCCCTATTTTAAAGATGAGGAAACTGCATATAGATAAGATTTAATATCCTTCCATCACAATTCTTTTTCATAGGCTACCCTTCATCAGAGCTCAAGGCCGCACTGCGAGTAGCAAAAAGCAAGCTGGTGTTGTCTTGCTTTGAGAGGAGGACACAACAGTTAGAGAAGGCCCTGGGCACTCCCCAGCTTGGATTATTGTTTTTCTTGCTATCTGGGAGCAAATGTGAAGTTATTTATGAGTAGAATTCCTCAAACTAGTTAAGACAGTGGTGGTAAGAGGCTCAGGGCCAATAGCACAGCAGTATGGCGGAGGTGTCCTACAGACTCACAGACCTGAAGAAAAGTGGTCACCTGGGGTCTTGGTTTCCTCAGAATGCACTGTTTACGCAGGAAGTCGTTATCAAACCTCTAAAGCAGAAGAAGGGATCAGGAGGACTCATGTCACAGTGAATTTCCTTCAGTAGTGATTTAGTAGAAACTATCAGCTTCTTCCTTCAAAATGCTGCTGCTCCTTGTTCCTTCAAATGAACTGTTTTGTTCACAAAATACCTCTACTGAGTGGAGCTTCTGCCATAGGAATATGTGAGAGTTTGAAATCAGGGCTATTGCTTCCAAATTAAGAACAAAAAAGTGCAAATTTCTCTCTTTAGGTTTGTCTAAATCAGGTTGTGTATTTGGACTCCCTTCTTCACCTAGCGCTTTGAGACCAGCTGGCACCTTTTCTCAGGTAAAATGAGCTCTAAACACAGAAGGAAGCCTTTCTGTCACTTGCTTCCTTCGGAAACCCTTGCTGAGTGCTGGTGGTTCTGGGCCAGGTCCTCCATTAGGTGCAGGGGCAGCTTCAGGCCCGACTCCTTCCAGCTGGCCCTCACTGCTCCTACGCACTGCTCCCTGGATGCTGTGTGGCGAGGCTTAGTGCGCACTGGGCAGCAGGGTAGCTCTCCATGTACCTTGGCATCTGTCTGAGTCTTGCTTATAATTTGCTTGCAGAATTTTGCCACTCAGTGAGATCACTAACTTCAGCTGTCCTTGGATATGGCTACTATTTTAAGGCTGTTTCAGATGCTATACTTTTCGATTTTGTAAACTAGTCTATTTCATTTTTTAGGCAGTGCTTTTACAGGAAGAAAAAAAGAAACCCAAAACAGCAATATTTTTGAGTCCCCAGTCAGGTATGTGGGCTTTAAACGCAAATGTGTTGTTATCATTGCTGCATCGTTCACCACATGCCTTTGACACACTTCCTCAGTAATTGGGCATCGGAATCACTTGAGAAGCTTTTAAAACGTGTTCCCACATTCATTATATAAATCTGATTCATCAGTAGTTAAATGTGGATGAGGCTGAGTTTTTTTTAATGCTTCAAATGATTCGTATTCTCTCCTGAGTAAGAGTCATAGTCATTAGAGATTTGTTTCTCAACCATGCTTTTTGTTCCTGCTTTGAAATTGCTGCCATCTCCCCAGCAAGGTATTCTCCTCAGGGAGATGATTTGCCATTCACCAAAGTAAAGAAAAGAAGTAATTATTAGCCTGAACTCTTCTGTTTCTTTCTCTGCCACTTCGTTCATTCATTCAACAGGTATTTATTAAGCCTTCCTTGCTACGTGCTAGCCACCAGTCTTAGATACTGGGGATATTGCTGTGAACAAGCAAAGTTTCTTTTCTTGTTTACTCTGCATCCTAGTCAGAAGAGATAGACAATAAAGATACATGAATGTGTCGTGTGGCTCTAGGTGCTCTACAGAAATATCAAGCAGGAAGAGAATGTTGGATGGAATGCAGCCTTTGATCAAGTAACATTTAAGCATTGACTGGAACAGAATGACAAAACATGTCAACTGGGAAATGGAGTTGGGCTACTGTACACAGAGCTAATAACAGTGTTTGTTGTGTCCTTCCCCCCCAAACACACACACACACACACACACACACCCCACTTGAGACCAGTGTAACCAGACTGGCTTGAACAAAGGGGGGATAAAAGGTGACATGGTTGGACCTGAATCATGATGCACCTTGTAGCAGTGGTAAGGAATGAATTCTTTAGGTGAGATGGGAAGCTACTTGGAGGATTCTGATTATGGCTACCAATGGATGTGAGAGTGGACACTCCAAAGCCAACTGCATGTAGTGAAAGTGGTGAAGGAAGCAACGAGTAGACTATCCTGAAGGGTCAACAAAATTTGTTGGATGGCTGGGAAGGCATGAGAGAGAGAGAGAGAAGTGAGTTCAAGATAGTTCAATGATTGGTGTCCCGAGAAGTACGGAGATCAAAGTAACTGAGCTGGGAGAAGAGTTAGGAGGAACAGCGTGGGGGGTAATATAAAGTTCTGTTTCAGACACAGTGTTTAGGACACCTGGTAGACACCCAGGTAGAGATGATGAGTAACCAGTTGAATATATAAGCCTAGTGTATATTAAAGAATCGCCACCTTCACCCAGCGGTGTACATGTGACTGTTACCAATGTATGGAGTGTATTCAAAGCTTTGCATAAGGATGAGATCAGTTGGCCTTAAGTGCAGACAGGAAAGAAACATTTAGAGAGTGGTTGGGGGAATGAAGGAAGGAAACAGAAAAAAGGATTTGTGAGGTAGAAGAATCCAGAATAGGATCATGGAATCCAAATGAAGAAGAAAAAGCTTCAAAGAACAGGGATGTAGTTTGCGTGGATTGTTGCCCTTAGGTTACGAGAGATTAAACATTGGATTGGGCAACCTAGAAGTCACTGGAGACTTTGAAAAGAGCCGTCTCCTTGGAGTAGAGGAGAGAAACCCCTGATAGCCATGAGTTCAAGAAATAAAAGGAGAGGAAGTATGGACCACTTCATTTTTAGGTGCAGTGCTAGAGCCTAGAGGAAGAACCATTGGGACTGAACTGATGTCCTGAAGGCTTTCTTAGGGT